AAGATGAGAACTGGCGACTTGGTAGTACAACTTTAGTACGCGGAGTATCTGGGGAGTGGGAAGATGAGAACTGGTGACTTGGTAGTACAATGACTTGGTAGTACAACTTTAATACGCGGAGTATCCGGGGAGCTGGAAGATGAGAACTGGCGACTTGGTAGTACAACTTGAGCACGCGGAGTATCTGGGGAGTTGGAAGATGAGAACTGGTGAGTGGGTAGTACAAGTTGAATACGCGGAGTATCTGTGGAGCTGGAAGATGAGAACTGGCGACTTTGTAGTACAACTTTAGTACGCTTCATTCCAGCTTGCTTTTTTCAGTGAGATTTCCTGGAGGCGTGCACGCTGCTTCTCCCCTTACCAGCCCAAATGCTCACGACGATGAGCTGGGCTGTCACCGCTTGGCCGCCGGTGGGGGGGGTTGGGAGGCCTGCGCGCTAATTCGTTCACTATATGTACAGTGAAGACCGTCACCAGCAGCAGACATGGACATACACACACAGACAGGGACTCATACACACACACACACATCACACACAGAGACCCACGCACTGCCTCAACTTACTCGGACACACACACAGACAGAGACTCATATACACACGGACATAGATACACACACAGAGACCCACGCACTACCTCAACTCACTCGACTTAACACTTCACACTGCACACTTAACAGATAACTCGCACTCTGACTTCCTACGTGATGAAAAATGCTTTCGGGCAACTCGTCGTCTAGTTTTTTTTGGGGGGTGCTGATGCCCCCGCTGTCATCAGACCGCTCTAATATACCGCATGCCTGTGAGCGGCTTGTGCGGCGTGGTTTTTGGGGAACCGGAGGCCCAGGACTTGGGGGAGTTGGTGGACCTGCACGAGCTGAAGCTTCGTGTGGTGCCGCTACCACAGGCGCTGCGATGGCCGATGCAGACAATGCAGACTGCATTTCGGCGAGCCCGAAAGAATCCCCATTTAAGACTCCGCAATGACTCTGATGTTCAAACCTTGGGTCTTGTAGCCACGTGAACAGATTAGAATGAGTTCAACATGTTCCAGAACAAATGTCTGAAAAAAAATGAAAAACATAGTTGGACCAGGCTTGTCAAATATAGCCTGTTTTGATGTCTCCAATCTGAGATCTCGCGTCTCGTGTGGCATCACCAGAGGAATTCCCTATTGGATCCAGTTCCAAATGACCTCCACGTTTGACTCCAGGGCCGCTTCCCTGTTCAGCATGTCTTCTGGAGGCATGTGCTGGGCACACGGTGCGATGACTCACCAAATGCTCTCAAACAACTCGGCTGCTACTCAGACTCTGTTCTAATTTGTCAAAGGCTCCCAAAGACATAAAGATATTCTGGTCTGGATTCGATATGCCACAAAACCAACATGTTTGCAGTATTGAGGGCTGCACCCCTTTCTCCCTTTGCTGGTCGCGCCTTTTCAACTTCAATAGCACCCACCAGTCCACTCTGAACATTTGCACAAGGCTAAGATGGTTGATGAGGAACATGCTTCCAAATGCCGGGGAAGTAGAAAGAGAAGAGATCTTTGTGGGGTAAATGGGGGAGTGTATTTGCTACATAGACTGCCCAGCCAATGTAGGGCGATCTATCAGACTCTTCAGTCGCATAGATCGGACATGTAAGTAACTGTCAGTAGCATGATTCTGTGGCTCGCCCTTGATACGCGGCCGTGGTGTTTCGCGCAAGTTCGTTTGGTATGTGCGGTAGTAACGTAGAAGTATTGACGCTTCTTCAGGGCCACTGGGGAGAAGTTGTACGTGTGTTTTTTGGTACATGTTTTTGTAGATTCTTGTGGACTTGCAGACCCAGTTGATGCTACGCTGGGGCAGGGTGGGGTGAGGTGGGGTGGTGTCAACGCTCATGTGAACTTGCAGCATGAACATTGCCTCTTGAGGGCACACAAGTGATCGGCAGAAGTTCATTGCAATTGCTGAATAAATGCTTTGGTGGCCTGCGCATGCGAACTCAACAGTAACAGTTGGGCCATACCATCATGTGTGATCGTGTGATGTAGTGGGTGCGGAGACACGGCCTCCCCCGTGATTCCCGCGAGATGCATGGGCGCTTGATGGTAGCCGTGGTGTGAAAACGCCATGGCCACAGCTGTCTGTACTAGTAGGTAAAAGTATGTATTCTTGCCATTTCTTGCCAAAGGAGACTCAGAAGCCGACTCTGTCCCTTTGCGGCAGGTGGCAGGCTCACTTTGCCGCAGATCATCAGCAGAACTTTTTGAGTGCCTCAAGGCCTGATGTCTGGCACCGACAAACAGATAGCACAAACAACCTCTACCGAGTGTGACCGTCCGATAGACAAGGGAAGCTTGAACACGAATAGGCTTGAAGTAGAGCTCTGATTCTGATGTTTGTGCTCCAAGTTCAGTCGAACATGGAGCATGCTGCAGCATACTTGGCATACCCTTGATCAAGTCCTCTTACCAGTCACAGGACCTCCCCTAACAAAAGACGGTGTGGACCCTAGGAGTGGCGTCACCAGGATTTTTTTGACAAATGCCGCCTCGCCTCGAGATGTTTGAAATTGCCTTGGTGACACAAATGTTGCAAATATGCGATCAAGACAGAGTTTTATTGTATACATAATGTATACTAATGCCTAATGCATCCTTTTCTTGTATGAGCACCTGGTAGCTGGTGTGAAATACAACTGTTGAGCATTGAACAATGTATTGTGCAAAGAATCGGAACCTGTCTCTTGTGACAAAGACTGCTTATGAATACTCGCCACCATGCCCTCCAGGGCTTTTGAGATACTGTAATTTGCAGGTTGCGAGCCTATGCATTGAAACCAGTGATCATGTTCCTCAGTGAGTGTGTACCTCAGCTGCATAGGCAGCATTGGGAGGGTGGAAGGAGGTGCTGGGAACACATGGTGGTGGACAGCTTGTAGTATGGCAATGATCTTGATGGTGGCTATAGTAGGTCATGATGTAGCATCTCATCCAAACGTGTGTCCGTGTGTGTGTGTGTGTGTGTTTTGATTGGCTATCCCGATGACGAACATGTTTCTTGAAGGTTTACCCCGCGCTCGCAGGGTGATCTAAGTGTGTGGCACGTTCTTTTCTCATACATACATATATACATATATATATACATGTATCACATATAAAATATATACATATATAGATCTATATGTATAGATACTATTATATATTGAGACACGTTTTGCCACATAGAAAAGAGGAGTTACCACTTTGCTTACCAAAGTCCTTTTCTGACCGTCATTGTCCATTGTTGCAGGATTGGGGCATTGTCCAACGTATTCCTCTAAATGTTAACTGCATTGCTGTGATGACTCGAGATCCTAAAATGGCAGTATCAGAGCACAAATTCAGGAGAAACTGGCTGGGTAGAGTCAGAGGTAGGATTGCTACATGCAACGAAGCTTGTTGGAGAGGTGGATCTTTACTCCAGCAGCACATTAGTTCAGAACTGAAGCCCAGCTTCCACAGAATGTAGACGTAGTATATTCTCTGTTCCCCCAAACCTTTAGAATTCATAAATAATGTTGGCCAGTCAAAAATACTCTACCGTGTACCCGGCAAATCACTGAAATTGTCCACACGGCACTTGCACGGAGACTCCTCCACCAAAAACCCGAGGGCTTGTGTTGCAAATCAAACCTGCGGTTACCACTCCGGAATAAGCAGAATCTCAATGTTTGGTTTGCATGCATGCAATTGTGGAGAAACCTTCAAGCGCAGCGAAGGTGTATGATCCTTGCCCAACCAGACTTATTTGTTTTATTTTGTTTTGAGAGCCATGCAAAGCATGCAAAGAAGTGACTAGGGGAACAAATTCGGTACAGGTTAGGGAAAACCTGCATTTGCACTAAAACCTGAGCTTTCACTCAGAATAATTTTTAGGGGTTGGCACGGGGGTAAGCACTGGGTTTGGAACGCTGAAGAACAAGAAAGTTGAAGGGCAAAAGAAAGCAGTGGTTGGCTGACCTGAAGAAAAAGGGGCACGCCTGTTGAGCAGTGCCACGGCAGTAGAATTCAACAAACACCTTTCGCTCTGGAAAGACCTTGGCTTTACATGGCTTTACAACTGTGTGTGTAGAGTTGCTCGAGGTTTTGAATCAAAACCAATGGTATTTATATATAGCACATCTTTGTCAAAACCAGAGGCTTTCTTGAACATCCTTTCCTTAAAGCTATTGGGTGCCGGGGGTACAGATTCTCGTCACTAGGAGCTTTGCCTCTTTCTGGATGCGGACAACGTTGCACTGCGGCCTCCACAGGAGATTTGCTCATGAGGAGCTACTGCCACGGGGTCTGACGGTGTTGGTCATGAGGAGCTACTGCCGCAGCTTCATGAAGTTCCTGCCGTTTTTTGGCCCGACATGTGGCCGCTTCCAAGGTGCTTTTGGGTCCTGAAAAAGTGGGGAGCTGACACCACCGGTTCTTTATAGTTCTTTTGTGTCAAACAGCGAGCCAAGTCCGGTTCTCATTGGTCGCGCGTTTTAGGGTTTGCTCCTAGTACGTTTGATTCAGGGATGCTGCTGATTCGCTTTTGTGGCAGTTCTGTTTGTTGCAGGGCTTTGATGATATCGTTCACACTTTGACATGATCCTCCCGATCACAAAACATATTTTGTTGCACTGCGACTGCAGAGCGAAACAAGAAGACTGTATGTGTTGTTGTGTTTTGAATGGATCACAGTTTTATTCCTCTAGCGATTGCAAAGAAAACTTAGTGTAAAATCTGACTAGAAAATGCTGCACAACGCACCAGAGGATCGATTCTTGTCTTTGAATGTCTTTGACATGATTTTGTTGACCTTGTGTTAGTGCAATTTCAGTTGTGTTTGATCGTGGAAGGCGAGGTTGGTGGGCGCAGTGGGAAGCGGCCCCATCGCAGGCCCATCCACAAGGTGTCTTGTTCAATGTCAATGTTCGCATTTGAGCCATCTCGGCAAGTTCCCACATTCAGCTGCCCTTTGCAGGCTTCCAGTCCCAGTCTTTTCGGCCCAAAGAATGGATTATCGATTATTTGGTCTTGATTTTTTGTGTGATAGATCAGTAAAGTCAAATTAACAGTTTAGGCTAGGAGTTGCCAACATACCATGTCTCCTGCATGGTGCTGCCTTCTGTCATGTTCTTTCTCCAGGAGAGTGGCCAGCTCTTGATCAACAAGACTGCCCCAGAGGTTGGATTCAGAATTATTGATCCTGTGGCACCTTAGTCACATATCATTGAATTAGTTTACCTCGTTAAGAACAACATAGATTAGATCAAATGAGACGCCAAGTTTTCACACTCTGACACTTGTATTCAGTGAACTCAGTTCCCACGCTGGGAAGGAAGGTGACAGAACTGCATGGTGAAAAGTCCGAAAGACTTGTAGGTGTTTCAACAAGTTGTTGGTCAAGTCTGCTGAACGATCGGTCGGCGCGGCGCAGCTGCAAGATAAACGCGGCAAAGGGGAGGTTTTGGGGAGGTATCATGGAACCACCATGACAGCAAACCAAAGGAAGAGTGGAGTCACAGCTTGATAGAACGGCAGGTACGCAGGGCTGATCGGGCCCTGCTTCCCACTCCCGCCCACAGCTTCGTTGCGTGTGGTAGGGCGGGAGTGCCACACGCCCCTGCCTGATTGGAGTGGTCGAAGGAAACCCTTTGTCCAGGGGTGGACACACACACACAGCTGCGTGTGGGCGTGCATGCTCAGTTTGGATCTTGCAATTCTAGTCAGAAATGTTGCCCGGCAACACATTAGGCACTAGGAACAAGGACGCTACTACGTAGGGGATCCTCGAGCTGAGCTTCCCAGGTGCGTCGAGCTCTTTTACTTAGCACGCTCTTTGCCGTTCGCTGGGATCTTTTCCTTCAGGACGATCGGGCTGGGGGTTTTTCATGGTATTGTTCCATGGAACAGGTCCAGGTGAACTCAGACAGGGCTCAGCACTATGTGCTCCGAAATCGCACCAGTGTGCAGCCTAGATTTCGCTAGGGAAGCAGTACTTGTCCGCCATCCACACCGTGGCCCGTGGCCAAACCAAGGTTCAGGCTTATCTAATCTATACATGCTGTATCATAATAGTGTCTTCGGTCATTTTTGGCCGAGTGCTGCGGCTGGCCTGATCAAGGGAAGTGAGCCAGGTGCTGTGAAAAGACCCAGAGGGAATCTGACTGAGTCAGTGCTGTGATGGCGATTCGTAGGTGATTTGTCGTCGTGTCTTGTTCGTTGCCTTTTTTGTTTGCGGGCACCTGCAATCCTCTCTCCCATTAAAGCCTCCCCTGTCTCTCTCCTTGAAGAAGGCCTGTTCCTGGTTGCTTTTCTTGAGCGAGCTCCCGTGGTACAGGGTGTCCAAAGGTACTGTAGTTACTTTAAGTGGTGAACGGCCATGTCATGTCATTTCCACCTTTCTTTGTTGTACCAAAGGCTCCCATGTCTACTGTACTCTTCTTGCAACAGTTTGTCAGCACAGTCGTTTCAGATGAAGCAACTCCCACGGACAGAGTCAAGGACATGTATCTCACCAGTGATGACGAGCTCATGTGTGGCTATGGAGACAAGGACCAGTCAGTGGCTCAGCAAAGTAGAAGGAATTGGAGACAGCTCATTTTTTTGCTGTCTTGTTGGCCCCACGACCTGTTGATCAACATTGAGTGCTGGACCTCCTGGTCGCTTTGGGTCATTAGTTGTCACGAGATGCTCCAGATTTCATTGAGTTGCAGGTCTTTCCATGTCTTTCCAGTTGCTTCCACAACAAAAGAACAGAGACTCGGTTTAATCTTCAACCGCTTCGAATTCCTTTGCAGGACGTGTACCAGTTAGCCTTCCGGCTGTTGCACGTCCCCTTTCGAATGATGGCTGCTGGCTTGCGCTTTCAGAATCCATGGCTTTTTAGCCTCATCCATTGGTTAGGCGAATCCAACAGCCTACAAAACCCCCTGTTTTTGTTAGTGGGAAGCCAACAAGTCCACGTCACAAACGGACGAAATCAAGAAATTCAGAAATGGTGAGTTTCCGAATTTCTGCCAAAGTAAAGAATTTCAGAGTCTTGGATCCACCTAGTCGGCATTGGTCATCCCAATATCCCGTCTTGAAGATCTTCAAGGTAAAGAACAGAAACGCCGGGACTCACTTGCAGACCGTGTTGGGGTGTGTTTACAGCACATGGCCAGGTCATCAACATAACACAACCGTGCACAGTGTTTGTCTTCACCAAAGACAATGGGGTTTGTGCTACTCGAACGACAATGGAGATACTCTTAACCATGATACCATGGAACCAGGACACTCCTTTTGAATATACTCCTTTTCGGGAGCAAGGACGCTACTAGGGGCTCCTGGCCGTACTACTAGGAACCAGAAGCTACGACGGGCTCCTGGCCGTACTACTAGGAGCAAGGACGCTACCAGGATAAACATGAGGATGGGACTGTTGCATGTGAGATCTTCATTGCTCGCCGAGGCGGATCGGCCGGCTTTGCTGGTGGAGGGCAAGCGCTACGCTGGTTTGATACAGTTGGATGGCCTAAAGCTGATTCCACCAAGTAAGTATGGTCTTTGTGTCCATGTGACTGAAGGACCTTGCAATAACTAGAGTCCTAGTCCCAGAGTGACAAATGCTCATGTTCCTAAGCTGCCCCGGACCTGCAAAGAGAACGACACTGCCTGTGAGAATCTGCGCAGTGCTTGTGTGATCTTGAGCTTGGAAAGTTGTGGACTTGCATAAAAGCACGGGCAGTCGGACAGCGGCCACACACTCAAGTGAGAGAAAGACCTTTGAGATCTTTGAGGCTAGATGCGAATCGATCCTTCTTTGCACATGTGCCGGGCGGCCTGGAACATTTGCGATGCAAGTATCAAGGCCTTCAGATCATGTCATTTTATGATATTGCACAAGATCTACCAAGAAACTGTGTGCTCACAGCTTCCCTTCTTGCCTGTCTTGTATGACATGTATCCTTTGAAAGGCTGCATTAGCCTATCCAGACAGGCATACATAGTGTACTTATATTCCTCAAGTTAGAACTGGCAGGGAACCGAGAGAATCACGGCCTGCGTTTGATTTAGAGTCCTTAGTTCAAGGAGATAATTCAGCAAGCAGACAGTGGATAGCAGGGAAAAGGTGCATTAGCAGCAAACAAGATCCTGTGTAACCACCACCGCACTAATTGTTGCGTTGCAAAGGCGATCGTTTCTCATGCTCTACGCCTTAGGGGCAATATCTATTTGTGCACATTAGATTGGTGCAGTTCTATAGATCCAAGATAATGCCTTTTCACTCCTCTCTAGTCTGTTTTTCTTGTCAAATTTTGGAGCAAGTATGAGTCCAGTATGAGTATGAGGTTATTGTTTCAGCTCTAGCTTCAACACTGCTTTCTTTGGATTGAACAGTGGACAGTCGACAAGGTCTGCAGCAAAGCACGAGATGTGGAGCCTGCTGGAGGTGGGGCAATGTGCGTGCGCATAAGTTGCATAGATCAGTACTTGATGTGATGCCATTAATCAAGTATCCACTCGGACTTTTGACAGCGGTTGAGTGGAGCTTTGCATGTCGGCATGTTTCAGGGTTCTTGTAAGCAATTTATGTGTTCGTTTGACTGTTCTTGTTGTAACCACGCTGGCCTGGTGCCACCACGCCCGCATTTTGTCAGCAGCTGATCACGAAAAGGTCTCTCACCCACTGTGCTGAGTCAGTTGCCAAGCACAAGAGAGTGAACTGATCGGCGGATCGGTGTTGATTGATAGAAAAACGCGGGATCGCTGCAGTTTCTGGGTGTTTGGTGTGTGGTGTCACTGCCAAATCTGACCCTCCCCTTTCATCCGGTCTGACCAATTAACCGTGCGTCAGGCGGGAACATTGCAACGCTGCGATGTCTCAGAGGCTCAGACAGGACCGACAGGACTTCGATATGTGACCTGTTGGGTGATCGGTCCGACAGGCGCCCAACTTCGCCACAGATGCGAACCGTGTCAACTTGATTTTGCTTACCAAGCTTTTGGTTGAGTTGGTGGGTGAGTTTTTCGTGTGTTTTGTGTACCCATGCTGGAAGTTATGATGTTCTTATGTTTTTATATGTTGTTCGCACTGCTTAAAACTGTGCGTTACTGTAGTCGTAGAAGTTGCCTGGACACATAACAGCCTACGGATGCCTACGATGTGTCCAGCATACCGCGATGTACTGCAGCTTTTGATTCAGTTAGTGTATTTGTTGCTAATTTCTTATAATATTTCTTATTGCATTTGCAGTTGTTCGCATGGGACCAATGTGGTCTTGCAGACGTTTTTTTGATGTGTGACGTACTTATTGACCACAAAATCCCAATGGCAGACGACACTTCCGGCAGCAGATGTGAGACCGCAGGCATCAAATTTGTCTTGCTCCTCCCGGAAAGGCCATGGATCGCCAACGCCTTACATACTTTCTTGTTCTGCTTAAAGCAAAAAAAACATTATTTAGACAAATAACAAATAACATCATATATAGTTAGTTCAAAGATGTTCATTGTGACGTGGCACTGGTTTCCACAGGCAAACCGAGTTGCTTACTTGGTTGCAGCGTTTCGGGCTTGATGTGCAAGACTATGTTTTGCATTGTTTTGCTAAATTTATCTCACAAGTAAATTGGCTTACAGGTCAGTGTATCAGTCACTGATTGTATTACTTCAAATGTTTGAGATCCAGAAAATCGATCTTCCGTGAGTGCCACGCTCCGAGGCTCTTCATTGCTTTCGATCAGCTTCAGCCTGGGATCTTTGTGGGAAGTGATCTTTGTGGGAAGCACTTATTTTGTCAGATAGGAGGGAATGTGCATTCTTCCAGCACAAACAGTGGTTCGGTTGCATTGGGCACGAAGATCGTCGGACATAGAGGAAAGCAGGGCGACGCGCCTGCATACACAGGTTCAGTGATGTCCCGCGCAGGGGAGATCCAACTCTGTTCCAAAAGGGCATGGCCAGAGATGGCGATCACCCATTGATCTCAGGTGTGAGCCCTTGCGGGTTCCAGCTGAGCTGCTCCGTGCCATTCAGAAGTTGCAGAAAAGTGATTCTCCAGGTTGCTCTTCTTTCTATGTTAGCTGATGGCCGAGGGAGAGGCGCATGGCAGCTTCTACGCTGCTTTGCTCCATACCTGCCAAATACTCCATGCCTATGGCAACCATAATTAGGTTCAATCTGCCAGTAGCCTGTCGAAGATACTGTAGAATCCCGTGCATCATTGAGTTTGTATTCTCCATATACATACATAATGTATGTATATAATTATATATACTGTACTTTATGAAGACTCACCGGGATTGGCCAAGAATTTGCCGCAGCATTTGCACCACTTGGTGGACACAGCCCATATTACGGTCATTGCAAGTGAACAAGGAGTTCAACAAGGAGAATCAGTTCAGACTCGAGCCCTCTTGATTCATAGCGGATTTCATGCTTGAAGGGCTAGTCACGCTTCAAGGCACTTTTGCCAACTGTGTTTTTGGACCTTGTTAGACGCGACCCGTAGAGGATCATGGAGCGCCCCAAAGAAAAATGAAACACAGCCCCAAAAATGCCAGCAAAATTATTAACAGAAGTGACATTGGTGGCTGTGCCGGGACTTTGTATCACAGCATTTGTTGCCATGGCACCTTGGGTCGCAGACATTACACAGTGAGGCTTCAGGAATGAACTCATGGCCACACTGCATGCAATGCCCACACGGGAAAGAACGTTTGCTTCGCTTTCTGCACATTTGTCCAATCATACGCGTGTTCAATCCCCATTATACAGGCCATATAGTTTACCCATGCATCTTTGAATACCACCCAAAATTTGCGGGTTGAGGCAGTTGGCAAGAAGCATGCAAATGCAACCGATTGGGTACCAGTGGATACTATCCATGTTCCAAAACGCTGACAAGGGCCAATCTCTTTGGTTAGTCCCTCGCCCTTTGCAGCTTGCCTTAGGCCGACGCTGCGATGGAATCGGAGGAGACCACTGTTGTAAACTGGTGTGGTTCGAGCAAAGGACGTGATTACCTTGGGGCATCTAGCTGTTGACCTGAGCCCAATGGATGCTTTGTTCCCTGCCATGCAACATTGACATGCTGTGTATAGACACAGGCCCTCACTAAATGCTTGTGGAACCATGGCGAGACCACACCGACTCACTGACAGTGGATGGAGCAATTCTGCTTGCAAATTGCCGGACAGTTTTGTACTGCTGCTGTGTTGCTTATCTTAAGACAGTGCCCTGCACTTTCAACATTGAGCCAGAAGTTGCTACAATCCCTACTGGAAGACCAAAAAAAAATATAAGAAACATGCCCCAAGCTACAGACCCAAGCGACTGCATCTTCAACCCAAGCTCAACCGTGATCCAGGAGAAGATGTCTTTACGTGGACGAGGATTGGTTTTCGAAATGAGGAATGTGCTGGATGTTTTGAGCCGTGGTTGCGAAACTAAACAGTTCTACTGTTCTACTTGCTTGGTCACTTAGTATCAGGTTTGTTGTGCTTCACCTTACCTTAGATGACTGGCAGCCTTTTGTACTACCCTCAAAACCCAGAAGCTCTGGACAGGTCGCGGCCGTGGCAAGAAGCGGAAGTCTACAGGTGGACGCAGCAGCCTGGCAAGTTAAGTGGCTGCAGGACTTGTGTTGAACCCGCCCCTTTGCGGGGACTTCACCCTTGCTTGAGCGGAGGCATTGCGGGCTCCACAGCGAAAGCTCCGGCGCCGACTCCACCGACGACCCTGTCACAGGCGCAAGCGAAGCACATCCATGATCCGTGTGTAACTGTGATGTGCATTTGGTAGAATCATTACTGTATATATAAACATCTAAAAACACTTGGTTCATCAAAATACGTGTTTCTTTTTAAAAATATTCTGCTTATTTGCTTGTGTGTTTGTATTCTGTGGATGTTTGACCTGAATGAATGAATGGAGATGGTGAGAGGTGTAGTTGACGATTGGTGTCAAATAGTTGATTGATCTTGACTTGTAGAGTTTGCTTTAGCCACAAATCATGGGCCCTTTGCCAGACCATAGGATCCCGTTCATGACTTGTTTGCTTTACATGTCGTTTGATCAGTCAGATTTCAGCCCTGCCCCCTGTTGAAAGGTTTGCCTATGGCTTGCAGGTTATTTTGATATAAAATCTGATATAATATGATATAATATTGTACATATATATATATAATTATATATTATACGATTATATATGATTACAGTATACATATACAGTATATAATTTACATTGCATGATTGGAATTGATGAGCACGGCTAGCCAGTGCATTCCACAAGCCAGGCACCGCATAGCCTCTCTTCCAACATCCAGGCATGATTAAGTCGCGTGTCTTCCCAGCCCAGAGATGGACTACACTGAGTACAGATGAATCCAGGCGTTGCAAGCCAGTGGCCATTTGGTCTCTATCTTTTGAACCAATCCAAGTACCAGCCTTTGGGTCCTTAGCCGCATCTTTGACAAGCTTCTAATACTGCAAGCATTCTGAAATTCTCCCGACTGGGCCCTTGACTACTACTACTACTACTGCTACTACTACTACTACTACTCGTACTCGTACTGCTATTGCTATTGCTATTGCTATTGCTACTACTACTGCTTCTACTACTGCTTCTTTTGCTACTACTAGTACTCCTGCCACTGCCGCTGCAATCGATTCCTGTCATGACATGAGCCCCTTCAAAATAGGGTACGTTGTTTCACTCGCCAAGCGGGAGAGTTCTCAGGGGCTTCGTTTCATGCAAAGTGCCCGAGAAAACGAAGAGCGGAAGAAGCAGGGAGGCCTAGCCACAATAAGTGACACACGAGTCACATGAGGCAACTTTGTTTCATACGGTTAGATTGTTGTTTTTGCAATCCATCCAGTCCAACTTGTTTATTGTGAAATCATGTTTTCCAAGCAAATTTGCGGTCATGATCGCAAGGGAACCTTTTGCTCCATGCTATGAAAAGATTGACTTTGTATGGCTGGAAGAAGGAAGTATGTGAATGTGCTGATTTGTATGCTCATTTTGGAGCGACGATCCACACCACCAAGGGTGCGATCGCCACACGAGTAGGGTCAATCACCAGCATGAGTTTAACGTCTTCTTGGTACTTGTCGATCTCACTGGCGGATTTGAAGCATAGAGGATTTCTTTTCGGTGTTCAAATTTCTAGGAGTTAGTTTTGGGTTCTCTCTAGGTCTCACTACTTTTGAAGTTTGGATGGTTTCAAGTCTAAGCCTTGGTGAGGTTGGAAAACGAAAAGCTGCGACATTTGGAGGCAAGGTTTGTTGAAATGGATGCAAGAGCGGAAAAACACATAATATGTTCAAGCAGGTTTGTCCTGTGCAGTTTGAGTTAAGATGACTCCAAGCTGTACTCTCCATGTCTTATATTTGGCCGCATGTGCCGTGTTGTGATGTGCCAGTCAGGCTTGGAACCCGAGCTTGTGGTTTTTTGGCGCTTGGTCAGGGTTGCCTGGCTTGAGGCTACCATCTACTCCCCCTGTACTACTGGTTGATTCAGGTTTGTTCCCACAGTTGCAAACCGGAGACCAGAACCGGCTCCGTATTCTTTTCATCAATTGCACAAGCCGTTACACAGGACATGCAGTGGGTCATCAGAGGCTTCGAAGCAGAGGTTCAGGCTGAAAGCCAGGACAGGGCACTTGCATGTTACCTCGCACACACACAAGTAAGTAAGTTTCCCTAAAAATATATTAATCAAATCATTAGTGCGAGCGCTTCTACGGGGGCCGAAGAAGCGTGAGCTATCCTGAGTCCAGTTACTAAAGTAGCTAGTAGCTTACTCCCTTAATTAAGTAAGGAGACAGGACCACAGGCAAAAAACCTTGTACGATGTGTTTTTGTTTCCTGGAACCTCTAGAGTTGAACTGTTGCCATACTGGCACGTGGTACTGGTTTTGACAGGGAGTGGGCTACACTGTCCGCTTCCTTTGACTACTTACTACTCCATCTACTCCCAAAATGTTGACAGAATTTCAGCTGGTTTGAACTTCGTTTCTGCCTGAGAGTGCCAAGCCCACCGCGTAAGGAGACCCCACCCACCAAGTCCACGCCGGCGCTGGGCGTGGTGCGCCTTTATCGTCGCTCCTACAAGGCCAGAGGGTGCAGGGCGCAGCAGGGGGATCCAAACGGGCGGTGCTGCTTCATGGCACTTGCATTGACACAACTTGGGGCGTTTTCAAGAGCTTGAAAGGCTCCTCAACATACTTTAAGGACCTTGAGAACCCATCAGTTGAGACTTCAGGAAAGATTAAACATGGTGAAATAATATGCTAGATTTAAAATAATCACAGACTTACCTTTCACCACCAGCAAGCTTTCACCATCAAGCTTTATTCTGAAGGGGATCAACTAAGATTTATTTGAATTGACCTGTTAAATGCACTCATGAGGGCTACAACGCCATGGTGGAGCAGAGCATGAAGGACCTCCTGTCCCATGTGCTCGGCCGTGGGGTTTTGGTAAGGCTTTACATGCACAGGCACAACATTTGAGCTTGAGAAGCAGAGTTTCGGTTCCTGCAGCCGTCGTTTTGACAATTTCGACCGCCATGGATCCCTCCCATGACATTGGCGCCAGAACAGGAGCTGCTGAAAAAGCACGCAGATGATGCTGCGCAGGCGGAGGAGGTGGATCAGGTCGGGCTTCGTCGGGACTGAGCCGCCTTAAGCATGCATGCCTGGATGCCTCATGCAAGATCTAGTATTGATTTGGCCTCAGATACTTCGTGGAGAGCTTCTGCTTTAATGTTTGTTGCTGGGCCAGCACATTGAGCACAGGAAGTCAGAGTGATTGACATTTGCTTGTGCCCTTCATTCTGGGGAGGAGGTATAATTCTCGTACTTGTTTGTCTTTTTTGTTCATTGGGTCGAAATTGTTGGAATACTTGCAATCTGTGTGCACAAGACACATTATATATCCAACCATGCCACTGGCGAGCCCAATTTCCAGGCGAAGACGCTTCGAAAGATGAAGAAGCAACGGATGACGAAGAGCTGAGTAAAGCAAAATGAACATCATGCTCATGTAGTAACAAGAAGCTACTAGAAACAAGTGCATCGCTACTAGTAACAAGTGCCTTACTAGTAGTAACAAGAAGCTATTAGAAACATGAACATGCTCATGGATCGAGCGCATTTCGACGTCATGAATCGACAGGAAATCTTGTGAATCTTGTTCCACTCTCCCCCAACCCTATCAAGCACCTGGTGTGGCCAACTTCCGCCTTAATTAGTCTCACATGGCCAGTACGTGCCTGGAACAAGCTGAAGTTGAGTACCTTTAAACCATGCTGCCCGCGTTGCTTCCTCGAAGGATTCGAAGGATGCCTCTTATTCTTTTGTTGTGCCAAGACTGACCTCCCGGCTCAAACGACACTGCAAACCTCCAATCAGCTGTGTCCGCCTGGTGCTAAGGACTTCCCAAGGGAGTCATTTTGGTGTTTACTCTTGGAGGGTTTGGTTTGGTGCACCCGCAATTACTTTCTTATCCAAGCAGCATGTACATACAGGTGGTACATGTGTTCTGTGCACAAGTTTGTCCACTGAGGATACTGAGGGCTTTGCAATAAGGCAGTGATCTTGTGATCACCGAGTTTGCTGCATGCCATGCAAATTTGTCCCCCAAACCCCGGATGCGAACATATACCCCAGCCGAGGCTAAAAGATCCCAGCCTGTCCCGTCTCTGCAAGTTCATTCTTTTCGATTCAGGTCATTTGGAGCCATGATGCCAGCAGATTCGAAGATGCATATGAAGATGGGAACTGAGGACTGCAACAACATGCAACAACACTCTGAGCTGGAACAAGTTACATGTACCCATTGGCCTTCATCATATACAGGCAACACTTACCAGGGTGTACTGTAAGGTTTAAGGTAAGTTTAAGGGCGAAACATGGAAGCGAGTCTTGTAATCACTCCGTTTGTCCATTGGTTGCAAAGTACAACTCGTTTGTGCAAAAGAGTCTTATATATATATAATTGATCTTAATTGGCAAGGTGCTTTTGGTTTCTTGGCACAAACCATTATTGTAATCGGGAGCTTTTCTGGGAAGTTCCTTGTGGTATCAGATACTGGATTATCTGAGCACGAACGACTACTTGCACGCTGACCCCACTGCCTGAGTAAATTCAGCCAGAATCTAACAAATCTAGCAATTTTTGTCATGACGTACAATCTGTAAAGCGTCAGACATGTCGCCCTTTTGCAACTGTTGACATCATCCCGCTGGACCTGTAGGCTGGGATGCTCCGCATGAAAGCTTGCTCAGGTCTACTGTGGAAGAGTTTTGTGTTTCAACTATGTTCAACAGCGCAACAATCATGAGGCTAATATAGGCAAATAAATCATAATAAATCCACCTTGTGGATAGATGTGAAGCGCACCTCCAACTCTCTTGCAGGAAGCTCTGAGGTCACTGATGAGGACACCGGGCAGCATGGTACGGTACAGCATCATGTGGCTAGTTGTTTGATTGCTTTTGAGTCCACACGCAAGCTTATGGCAACCAGACATCAATCCTATTAAAGGAGCACTGCATAATAGAGACCAACACATTCCTCTTTCACAATGACAGTATGCATGGTTTGCAAATGTTTGCAAGCCTGCTTTTGCCATTGAATCATGAGGCCTGTGTTGTCGGAGGCAAAGCCCTTTTTCCATTTGCACCAAGTACTTGGAAACACTTCAGTGAGGTTGATTTGGTATGTAGTTTCTCAACGAATGTTCAACAGGGCCTTTTGTTCCCGCCTGTTGCACCAAGGCCACATATGCATCATGCAATTGAACCATGGATGGCTCAGGTGGGACTTGCCGCTTTGAGCCAGTCTTCCAAGATCTAGTTCTTGCAATCATTTGTATGTAATTACTGTATATGTTTCGAGTGATCTTTGGCTACTGCAGAACATGGGGTTGTTTAAAGTTTAAAGTTGTACTTTACATAAGTCCGTGTCACTCCTTTTTTTTTGAACTTTTGCTATGCTTTCCCCGTAGATCGATTGGTACACTGTGCCGTGAATCATTGGACAGGTTGGTGATACCGAGAAGCGAGGCTTATTGCGCCTCATGCGTATGGCTCATCCACAGCCTGGTGCAGCACCTTGATTGGGATTGATTTGACACGATGCGAAACTGCTAGAACTTGCGGAACTTTTGGGATTTCCAACTTGCAACCTAGGACCTGAGGGGCTGCACGATGATACGCATGCCATGTGTTCTCAAAGCCATACCGGTCATGCCATTAACTGAAGGTGAACAAATTGTCCATCATGATGTAACATTCAGAACATGTTTTAGAGAATTGCCTTTATTGGCAGCCTTGGTACTCGAGTGTACATGATGTGAATCAGTGAAGCGTCCATACATTCAGCTCTTTTGTGTCTCTTTCACTTATCCTACTAGCCAGACATTGAGGACGTAAGCAGACTAACTCCTGCGGAAAAGGATATTGTCTCGTCCTTCATTTTACTGCAATGCTGATGTTCTTTGTTGCCAACAAGGAAAGTGCATTTTGTAAAGGCTCAGCAATGCCTTCCAAAAGGACTGTTTCTTTCTTTGTTTAGCTTGGTTTTGTGATTCGATTGCCTTTAGGGGCCACGATTTGCTTGGCACCAGGGCACGATGTTTGAAAGAGACGGTGCCACGGCTGAGATTCCAATCGACAAGCCGCGACAACCCTCGTGGATTCCTACATGCGCGACCCACAAGAAGGAGCGACTGGAGCGAGCTGACTGGAGCTGTTCCCACGATGCCCTCACCAGAAACAACGATTTGCTCAACATCTAGGCTTCTAAGAGAGACAAGTCTAGGAACATCACTGTCATCTCCATTGCAACATGGGTAATTATCGTAGAGAATGTCAAGTTTGTTGCTTCGCTCAGAGAAATGCCAGTGACTGATTTCACTTTTCCCCGAAGATTTCTGGAGTCCTATTATGTGATAGTAAGGGTGGCTTTGAGAGTCAAACCAGACCTGCGCCACGTAAGTGAAACATATATAATCTTTGGAGCAGGTTTCACGTCAGACCCAATCAACGTCGCACTCACCAAGCTAGATTCATGATTCATGATAATTCATAGAGATCAGAAGGACACCCATGGAGAAACGACATATCCAGCAGCGTCCGTGCGACACACAAGCCCGTTGCGTTCGCACGAGGACTTCAGCACCTTGCCAACGGCGGCGCGTGGAACTCAGAGAAAGGGAGTCGACACCACGCAAGCACTGCGGAAGTGGGTGCGATACGGTGTCTATATTTATGTTGCAATCATATTACATATATATATATATATGTATTATCATGTTATTACATCATTATGTTGAAGTCAGTAATTACTCGTATAATATCCAGACCACCTGGGGCAAACCAGCAGATCACCAGGATATTTCTGAGGACAAATATGATGGTGGTCCATGCAGCCCTTCGGGACTTTGATGCCATCACTGTGAAGGATCTTAACACGTGCCACCGACAGAAGCTGATGCCCTATGTACACCAGGGTTGACAACAATGATGGTTTGTCTTGTTAAGCTGTTCTCGTCAGTCAGTGGAGCGGTGTCTTATCCTGTTTGACAGAGGCGTTCTCGAGGAAAAGTCGGCCAGATTTGTATGATTTGTCAGAGGATGCTTTTGTTGGCAAGTGTCGCGCCGCACTGTTTCAGGCTCAGCATGATGCAGAAATCGGCTTCCAGCCCTGCCCTCCGCTGACCCACGTTCACCGATTGAAGGAGTTTGTCGCATCTCCAAATGTCAATCGAAAGATAAAGCATCTCCATTGTCGTTATGATCGGCCCCTTTTATTGACTTCTCGACTTCTCAGCTTTTTGTGTGCACAGGGAGATGACCAAAGAGACGAGCTGTGTTTGCTGGTTCCGCAAGGGAATCCCGAAGGGAACTCTTGGTGACCGCTGTATATATTCCAGGTGCTTCAGCTAGATGAGTCAGTCTCTTGAGATGAATCAGTGTCCACACGCAGAACTTCGGAACGAATCGGATGCACCAAGAGAATACTACACTACCGGTATAGTTGCCCGAGAAAGAGTTGCGCAAGAAAGGGTGCAAAGACCTAGTTTTTCAGGTTGTGTGGGGTCAAAGGCCCAATCAAATCCTGGAAATGTCCGGATCTGAAGTAAGTCAAGAATGTGCAACTTGCATGAAGCTGCTACCTTCGTCCATCAATATTTACCAGTATTTGCCATTGCCGATTGCTTGCATGCTGACCCTATATTCTTTGAGCATGGTCAGAACAGCTGCCGGTCCGGAAAAGGAGCACCAGAGTTGATTCTGACACACCCAGCAAGCCAACGCCCTCTCACATTGCACTTTAGTTTGCCACGGTACATCATGGTGTATCAAGGGGATCAATAGATGGTGTTCCAAAGACCACTCTGACATTGGCCTGTCAGATGGTTGGAGTGTTGGACACTACAGCCAGTTTCACTGAAGACACGGCACTGATTTGAGAAAGCACAGCATGCTGGCTGCTACAACAGTATTTGCTGTTGAATTCTGTTGTTCCTAACGGGTGTGTTCCTTTTTGGTCACCACAAATGCATTTCCTTTGCTTTCATTGCTTGAACTCTTTGGGTGTTTTGAGAAGTGTAAAGTCAATATTGACTAAAGTAGATTAAAGGCATCTTTTTGCACATCAAATCTCAGGTTCAGGAACTCACGAAGCGGTCCGAAGCAGTTGTGGGATGTTGCGGGGCCACTTCTTCGTTTCAAACAAAACTGAGACTTTTGGGTGCTATGAAGTGCAATGTCATGTGGTAACGATCCAGTGCAGTGTTGCTGGCTGGGTCACTGGAATTTGCTGAACTCCCCTGTCACACCTGCGTCCAGGTCGATATGAACAGTATTGGTTGAGGAGACTGTGCATACAGTACCGTTGGTTCCTGGTAGGAATTTGCTTGTGTTGATGCCTGGTGTGGTACTAGCTCTTTCCCTTGATACGTTAATATACGTTCGCAGTGTTTGTTGCGATTTGGGTGATGTTTCGATTGAGGCGCTCTCTCCGCTTACCTACATTTCATTCATTCAGAGATAGCAATGTCATGCAGTTTCTAACCCAATGCCGGGTTCAAGTTTTTGAAGAAAGACTCCAATGTCTAAATCTGAACATGTTTCCACCAAAAATTGGACAACACCAAAAACGACAGGTCACGTTCACATCAACACAACACTAGCGAGCACAGAAGTTGCCGCACGATAGCACACTGCACGATGATACAGATGTTCAAGCGCAATTGATCAAGAAAGTCAATAAGTCTTGGATGAAGTTTTCATAAGTTTTCCTTTATACAGTATTTTGTTTGAGGGTGATAGGACCAGGTCCTAGATTAGAGATGTTGTTCTTTTTTTGCATGTGTCAGGGTGTACCCTGTGGACAACAGTGCCGATCAATTCCACTCTTGCAACACAACTCATGATTGGAGCCGCTGTATAAAGTGCTGAACCAGATAAAGAGTTCGCAGCTTAGACACGACAGTGCAGTGCGTCTTCCTTTGGCTCGTCCTTTCAGTGCAGTGCTGTTTGCTGTATATAGTGGCCTAAAAGTGGCAACAAAAGAGGCGAGAGTCGCGCGGCTTGAGCACGGGGAATTTGGGATGATGGATGTGCTTGGGCTTGGATAATTCTCAATATCGTCAGTGTTTGTTCAATTGACGATTTTGCATGCAGTTCAACTTTCAAGGTCGCCTCCCTCGGGAAGATTGTGTTTGGGCTAATGGGAAACAATCATAGTGCGCCTTCCAATCTGATGTCAAGATTTGATGTGCTGACCTGAAGCTTGTTTTGTGTCATATTTCCTTTGCTACCTCCACTATCCTACTGAAATGTGAACATTCAGAAATGGCTGTCAGGTTGTTAGTCCTGGAAGATTGTTTGTATTGTAAGACGTGCAGTGGTTTCTTCGTTCTGCCCACAGTGGCCCATACGTTTACTTGCTGAATACTCAACAATCATGAAATATCAAAGAACCATAAAGAACAGATGCCTTTTCACCAGACCACAATCTATAGTATAAAGCTGCGTCCGGGTGTGGGCTGCTCCCACCCTAGCCCCTTCAGAATGTCCTTTTTGTTGGCTCATCTACGCAGCTTGTGCAACAGACATAGACATAACAAGGAAAAATAAGGCGAGATAAATCAGACATCTCACTCCACAAGCACAGTTTCCTCGTTTCAAAACAGAAGCCGGTAGAGTCAAGACCCACATGTGCAGCATTGACGCTAGCCAAAATTGTCTTCAATGTCCACCATGTTCAACGAGTGCAAAGCAGCCGTCAAAGAGGTGTTGAGCAACTGCCCGAACTTTTCTTGGCTTGTAATTTTCACCCCAATCAAGCAGCAAGGTCCAGATGTGTTTGTGAGCCAAAACATATTTATCGATAGGTTGTATATAATCAGAAAAGATGTAAATACATTTATCATAGTCATTTGCATGTACTTCAATGTTCCTTGATTTGCCGGATGTTTGGCCAAGGCAGGTGGTTTGGAGCATGGCCTTCAGATTCTGTTCCCAGATATCCAACCAGCTTTGCCCGAGAGACTCCGAAGGCATCAGGTCAGAGCAGCTCAAACTGGCCCAGGCTCTTCTTTCGATGTGGTCGCTTTGAGCCGCAGCTTGAAAGGAAAAGACTGGAGACAGGCCAGGAAAGAACGTCACATCATGGGATTTGGACATTTCTTTGTGTATTTGATTGTATCATATTGTATCAGGATCTGTGTCTTTTGCCAATTGTTCACTGGGTGCACATCGTCAGGCACTCCACAGGTTCGACGCCTTCTGTGAAGCCCGCGTACGAACCCCATGGGTGGAGGTCAACAATCCGCTGGTTTTTGATTTTTTTTAATTGAGAAATCTTGAGAAGTCTGTGTGTTCTTCTTTTCGTCCTTGCAACATCTTGTAACTTTGCAGCTATCCGGAAGTGATTTCAGGAAGATGAAGATGGACTTTTGGTGGCTCCCTTTGGGATCCTAGCGGTACTGTAATATGTGGTGACTATTGATGGGTCTTCGGGTATCCCCGTTACCCATTCGCGCTGAGGGGCAGCCTGACCTGGTCGCTTTCAACGTTTTAATCCGCGATGCTCCCTGGGTTGCAGGGCTGCATCAAGATCCAACGGTGGGAGGGCTTGATATGTTTAAGTCCAGGAGTAGACAAGGCTTGACAGCTGGTAAGAAGATTTGTGAAGCTTGAAGATTCTTTAGCAGGGGCAGCTCTTTCCTTGTTCTATGTCTTTGTTTCATTTTGTTTCAACAGTTCGAAATGATTACCACGGCTACTAGATCAAATACTCTTGTGGCATTTAGCGCCCAAGAAAGTTCATCGTAGTATTGACATGTATTACTGTATGTTTGTTTTGGCTATCGCCGCTGTTAGCGACCCCAGAGGAAATCGCGATTTTATGGTGCTGTCAGGTCCTCGTTGATGTGAGGTGGGGTGGGGTGGAGCACAGGATTGCCTGTCACAGGGAAGCACCAGGGAGACATTTTGCGGGAGGCACCAGGGAGACAGGAAAGGACCATTTGGACAGCCTGAGGCACGAGGGAGGCAGGAAAGGAATGATTGGACAGCTTGCGAGGCACCAGGGAGGCAGGAACGGATCCATTGGACAGCGTGCAAGGCACCAGGGAGGCACCAAGAAGGCAAGAAAGAACCATTTGGACGGCTTGGGAGACACCAGGGAGGCACCAGGGAGGCAGGAAAGGATCAATCGGACAGCCTGTCGAGGCACCAGGGAGGCACCAGGGAGGAATGAAGGAGGCAGGAAAAACCATTTGGACAGCCGGAGAGGCACCAGGGAAACCGGAAAGGACCAATTGGATGGGGCATGTTAACGTTCGCTTGCACGTGCGTCACGAAGTTGATGCTTCGTGGTAGATGTGGGGAGGGGTGGGGTGGGGTGGGGCATGTTAACGTTCGCTTGCACGTGCGTCACGAAGTTGATGCTTCGTGGTAGATGTGGGGAGGGGTGGGGTGGGGTGGGGCATGTTAAGGTTCGCTTGCACTTGCGTCACGAAGTTGATGCTTCGTGGTTGATGTGGGGTGACGCAAAACGCGTCGATCGATATATGTCCGCAGTTTTCAGTTTCGGTGGAACAACCGAGGAAATTTGCTTGAGGCGTTGGCCCGAACGTGGCCGCAAGTGTAAAGAAAATATATACACCTGCAAAACGCGTGTGCGCCAAAAAAGAGTGCACTTTCTGCTCTTCCCCAATCTAAATTCCACCTTACAAGTGCTGACCCCTGTGAAAAATGGGATGAAAGCACATATGATCCAAACTCTCCCACATGAAAAAATGGGAGGTTTTGAGCACTGTCCACTTTGGCAATGTGCGAACCGCACAGGGTCACTATTAGCGGCGGTGCCTTGTTTTGCTATGCTCAGTGCTATGCTCATATTCTGTCAGCAACGAGTTCTCACCGACGAGTTCTGTTTGCTTCGTTTGCTGAGAAGTGCCGGTCCAGTTGCACCATGTTGAACCTCCAGGTCATGTCGGTGGAACTGATGCAGGACATCTTGCCAATGAGGCTTGATGCAAGCCAAGCATGCTAAGGGCAAAAGGCACGGTGCTTTGTTTTCTTTGGTTCTTCATGGGTTCAAACAGACTCAGCATTTCTTTTAGAACCCAAAGAACAGAAAGCACCTTGACCAGCTTCACATTGGTTCTTCCTTTATTTCACGGAAGCCTCCAAATGCAGCTGGCCTTAAGCGATGCCAGGCCTGACGTGGTGACCATTAGCACGGTCGTCAAGTGCTGCACTGAGAACTCAGTGTGTGGGACCACAGAAATCGTCGATGTCCGTGGTGTCGGGACGGTCTTGGCCGGCTTGTGGGAAAGGTTATGATGGTTATGAAAGGTTGCATCAGTAGCTGGAGGATTTGGCAAAGGTGGTAGTATTGGTATTGAACGACGCGTTATGTCATGCAATTTGCATGATGGTTGAGTGACAGTTAAGTTTGATAGTTTGACTTTTACTCTCAGTATACTGCAAATTCAATTGCTAGTCCAGCGATACAAATTTGGGCGTGGATTGGCATGTACTTGTATGTTCCTTGGCAGCTCAGTTTTGCTACGACGCTACGATGTCGAGGTGGCTTCCAAGCACCCGGCTGCTAGCCTTTGCAAGGCGTGCTTCTGTTGCAACAGACTACAGTCGGACAACTTCAAACCAATCTCCGTTGACCCGGTGGCTTCATGCCAGACAGGCAAATAATCTCCTCTCCAAACGCATGCGCTTTGGATCCCTATATAAATTTGTGTTGCCATCTTGATCAAGAATCCTGTCGTGCCCAGAACATCCAGAACATCCAGAACCAAGGTTTCACTAGAGTTGCTAGAGCGCTCTATGAACGTCAGAACCTCTCAGAGCCAACGCTGGCACCAGTTACTTTTTGTTGGTGCAACGGTATTTGATCATATTGGGACTCCCGCATCATGGCTCTTTCTGAACTTCAGATTCAGTTGTTTGAAGATCTCAAAAGGCGTGGATCAAAAAGCCAAGTAATTCTGCAGTCAAGCAAAGCAGTCTGAAGGTCTGGTGCAAGTGGATCAGAAGAAATCAGCACAAGCAGAGGACATCAAGTCTTGACATTCGCAATCCTGGCATTTCTGGCACTTTGGAGGCAAAGTTCTGTGGAGGTCGACCGAGTGGCACTTTGGCAGCAGGTTTCTTTTTCCCAGAAAGGGCCTTGTGATGACCCGAAAGGGCCGAAAGGGCAACAGAACATAATAGAGCGCGGTCGACCTGCGACCAGCGATGGGTCCAATTTGATTCAGGCCTCTTTGGGCCATATATCAAGATATTGCTTTAAGACTTCGGCAGAGTTTCGGGACTAGGGTAAATTGCAACAGTAATCAGGGTATTTCCAGACAGTTATGTTGTATGGTGTTTTTCCAAGCTGTGACCGGTGTTTTTTGCGTCAGTGACCGCCACCCGGTGTTTTTTGCGACGGTTGCCCGGTGTTTTTTGCAACGGTTGACCGGTGTTTTCTGCGACAGCTTGTTTGACCGGTGTTTTCTGCGACAGCTTCTTTCCGTCGCCGTATGCAAGAGCTGATGCGAGCGCTGCTTTGGGGAGGGCACAGCGCCTCTCCCCCGAAGCCGCAAGCAGGCTCACCGCATCTCACAAGTCGAGCTTCCTTCTCAGCATGGACATCTAGCAGTTTTCCAATGCCTGCTACAACCAAGATGTCTACGGCGCGACAACAGAGTGCGGTGCCGTGCCCAATGTGCTGCGACATAGCCTGCCGGCGGGAGGCTTCAGCAGCAAGCAGCAGTCCAACATATAAGCCTTCAACATAAGCCTTCACCATTCACGTCTTGCAGTTTTCCAGCGCGTCTGCTTGCCTGCTTTACAACAAACGACAAGCGCCCATGCGCATGACTTGCTTGCGCCATAGCTTCCTGGAAGCCGCGGTCCAAGCGCGGGCGGTGGCGATGCTGGTGCGAAGCTTGCTGAATTGAAGATTGCAACCATTTGGCAGCACCTCAAAGACCTCGGTATTGGAGAAATTTGTGCCACTGGAGTTGCAGGCTACATGCAAAAGTATCACATCCAATCTTTGAGCCAGCGTTGTCTGACTTGGCTTCGAAATCACCGGGTTCCTCTATCCCATTTTGGATTGCGGACAACAGTCGACCACGATGCGTTTCTCGGAAGGTTCCCTGGCCATTCTGACATCAATGTTGCCTTTCCGCCTCGTGACCATCCACAGACACCCAACGCTGCAGCCGAGGAAGCCAAGACAGCAACAGATGTTTCTTCGGAGCCTCCTACAGCTGCCCTTCCGAAAACGAAACCGAGCCGAAAGCAGAGCAAGGATCAGTTAGTGTGGGAAGACGTGGCACGGGTGGATTTGGGGACTCCCTTGCTGTCAAACAAAGACCTTCTGCATCATCTGCGGCACAGAGGCGAATGGAGTACATGCCGCGTCTCTGTCCGCATTGCTTGGCAGAATAAGCAACGAGTCCAAGCTGAAGTCCGGTGCTTAGAGAGTGCTGCGTGCCCGTGCCGCTGGCGCGCGCACTATATACTAGCTGCAGCTATCTACCAGCCAGGCACGCTCATTCTACAATGCAGTGGTGCTCATTCTGGACATGAGGCATGTCTTGCTGCTACTGGGAAAGTCTTTAATGCAAAACAGGAAACTCTGGCAGTGCAATTCTTTGATAAAGGTGGGCGCACTGGCAAAAACTTACGGGCTGCGCTGCTAGCTGGTGGCTGTGCTGAATCGTCTTTGCCCACCAACACGCAGCTCTCCAACTGGCTGAAGAACATGAGGAAACGCAGAAAGCCGGCTTTGGATTGCGACCTACACATCGTCGAAGCTGTTCAGTTGGAAGTCAACAAGCTACCCCAGAGCCCGCCCAAGCAATTAGATTCAATGTTTCTATTGGAACAGCCACTCATCAGCGATTCGGAAGTGTGCGTTCTCTTTGCGTGCCCGGGTATGCTGGAAGCCCTCGGCCGCTACGACGGTCCTGATGTTGCTCTTGCGGTCGACACCAAGATGAAAGTACTTGACCGGGGTATGGGCGTGGCTACTTTGAGCTTGCTTGTGAAAGACGCTTTGCGACCAACCCATTTGCCGAGAGGCCCTGGTGGTTGTCGCACCCAAAGCCGCGCTTGGACTTCACATGGACTGCCCATAGTGCAAGCCGTGTTTCACGCCGAAACAAAGCCGAACTATATCCGCCTTTTCCAGAAGATCTGTGACCTATGGGCTTCTCGACAACCACGCCGCTCGCCGCTCCAAGAACAACTAACGCTCCAAATTCACAAAGATTTCCACCCCAGCATTGAGGAGGCTCGACTGCAAGTGCTACCGCTCTCGCGAGCGTGTGATGATTTTTTCCACCTGAAGCAAAATCTTTGACTACTATGCAAGCCAAATGCAAGCAAGTGATTCATCGCAAAGGAAAATACATCAAAAAGAACCTCGGGTTTGCTTTGGATACACTTGAGATTCTGCGGCTGGTGCCTACCTTGCCTCTCTTTAGCTGGCTGTGGAAAGCTTTCCTAGCCACGCTCGGTAGCCTTGGCGAGCCAGAGTTAGCTAACTACCTCAAGAGTTACGAACGTGTTCTTCCGGCACAATTTGCTTGCCAAATGTTGCCAGATGACATTGTCTACGTCAGCTTCTGGATTGGCTTTGACGGCATCATCTCCGGTTCTGGTAGCGGCAGCGAGCCCGCAGAAGCTTTGCATTCATCTTGGCAACGCGAGCTCAGTCAGCTCGGCGGGCGTGGCAACATCAACCATGGCTTGCAAGTCTTGCAGCAGCTCTACACGCAACATTGGAAAGATTGGTACAAATGGGGTGACTCTTCATCTTTGTCTTTTGCGCCAGTAAGTCAAGATCCGCAGCTCATCAATGGCACAGCTTTGGTTCGTGCTGGACGTACACCCGCTGCCCATTTGAACAAGTTGCCTCGTGATACCTTGTACATCCTGCACCCATGCGCCAATCTTTCTTGGGTCGCATTTGCAAGCGCTGCCAGAACATCCCCGCTGAACTGCAGCGTTGCGCGCAAAGTTCTCCATGTCCTTCTACACCCTGAAACCTTGACTGCGCACAGTTTGCCAGACCTCTTCGCTGCTGATGGAACCCTTTCCCTGGAGTCTTTGCGGTTCCATTTTGAAAGCATCGTGTATCTCAAAATCAAATCAACTTCGATACTATGTTCTTGCCTGGCAGCCGCCATGCATGCACAATGCGAACATTCAACATTTCTTCGTAGTTGCAGCCTTCCACACTTTTCGTCTCCGGCTTTGAATCTTTCGACAGTGCCAGCCAACAAGAAAGGTGGGCGAAAGAAAGCTTCCAACCTTCCCCCGCGCAAACGCCGCCGCGTTTCTTCCTGATGCCACAAACAAAACTTTCTTGCTGCCATGGAAAAAGGTGAGACATCAAACATTATCTAACGCAGCTCTTTCGTTTCTTTGGTCATTAAACGTTAAACTTTGCATTTTTCATACTGGCTGTGCTTTACCGATTCTGCTCGTCGATTCGACACTTCTTCGCAGTGCGTAGCCATACTGTACGATCTGTCACCGCTGCCAGGTCTTTCTCGCCTACCGCGTCGGGGCGGGGTGCGGCGCCCAACCAACTATACGCACGGTTTTTCTTCTCCCGTTAGCGCCCGCCTTGCCGTGGCGGAGAAGCTCAGTACCGCGCAACTGCGCGGGAAGCTAAGCGGCGCTTGTCGGCCTGCAGCTGCATCTGCTAGTGCTTGGTCTCTTGTATAGCTGTATGTCGCGATTGCCGGTTGCCATTGCCGGTCGTTGCAGCGGCTAGATGCCTCGGTGCTGCTGCTGCTGCTGCTGCTGGTGCCTGCTGCTGCTGCTGCTGCGGCTGCTGCTGCTGCTGCTGCTGTGACCGGTCCGCGTGCTGCCTTTGCTGCTGCGTTGCTGCTTGCAAGGCAACAACAGCTGTCGCAAAAAACACCCCTCACGGCTGCAAAAAACACCGCCGTCGCAAAAAACACCTCGAGACGTACGCTCCGACGAGTTGTGGGCTGACCACTGTTGCAAAAAACACCGCTCACTGATGCAAAAAACACCGCCGTCGCAAAAAACACCTCGCGTACGCTCCGACGATTTGTGGGCTGCCCACTGTCGCAAAAAACACCGCTCACTGACGCAAAAAACACCACCGTAGCAAACAACACCGTGCAGACGTCCACAAAAACACCGGTTCCGGGCTCACCGTGTGAAAAAACACCCGTGGAACTGTTGCAATAAACACCTTCCCCAGAGCTGTCGCAAAAAACCCTGAAACAAAGTACTGTCGCAGAAAACCCTGATTACTGACGCAATTTACCCGAAGCCCGAAACCCACATGCCCGAAATAATCCCGAAATCCCATTCGATCAGGGATGTAAGTCCAAATATCTTTAAACTTCTGGATCGAAAACGCCAAAAGAAGCATGAAATGTTGCTTGCAGATGGGCAAGGGTACACACTAAACGAGCCAGTACATGATTGCTCACTGAAATGGGAGACATTAGGAGAGATTGCATTATTGAGGGTCCTCTTGGAAAGACCTGTGTCCCTTTGGAGGATGAACCGCATTTGGTTGATTTGCTGGTCATTTTCAAACATTCATAAGACTCATAAGACTCACCAACTTGTCACCAACCCTTGCGGCACGTCCATAGGGCTTGGGTTTCTGCATTTCTCAGGCCAGGAACTCACTGATGTTTGGCTTCTGTCAAGGCTGCTGCAGTTTGCAACAGTGGGGCTGTTCGGTGTTTGTCAGCTTGCAGTTTTGCACCCCATTGCAAGTACATTCCGCGACTAGGTTTGACAGCTGTGCTCCAGAATCAGTCATTTTGACATTTAACTATGTTCAGTTCATCTATTCACTGTTGCGTGATGATCGGACGCTGCATGCTCCAACATTCATGGATGCCATTTGCCACCTTGTCGCCTTGCTCCGTTTTGCTCATCCCAAGACTGGAGGAGTTAGTGGCCAGCTGGTTTAACAATCACAACACTGTAGACCAGAGTTTGAACAGAAGAAAAGACACTTCAGCCAATCATGTTGCCAATCATGTTGACAACTTTTGATCGGTCCAGCAGTCATAGACAGGTATTGTTGCCAAGAACCTGTTTTAATGCTCAGCCTTCAATGTTGTTTGCTTCCTGTCGACTGCGACCGTGCAAGCGCCGCAGTCGCGTGATAACAGGTACTACACTCCTCCGTCTTGTAGATGTGACTGCTGGTGTCTGACTTTTAGACTTGTATACAATCCGTGGCAAGTGTGATGTGAGTCCAAGCAAGGTATACTACATAGGCTGTTCCATGCTTCATGCATACAAGTGTCTAAGAAGTTCCAGCTGAAAGGCGCTTGTGACTGAAAGTGCTCCACACGGATTGTTGCAGTCTTCGCCCAGACACCGTCTTTCGGGGGCCCTCTTTGTACATCATGCTTCCAAAAAAGCACCACTTGTGTTTTCGTACGAGCTCCCAAGGGTAGAAAAAAACCGCTTGTAAGAACCCATCTTTGACACAAATCATGGAAGTTTACAGAGGACTCCTATTTTGCAGAGGGCCCCCATTGATTCATTTGTCATATTCACCACACGCCGACATAGACACAAACCCATCAATGCCCATGTGTCGCCATCAAGTTTTGCACTTTGAGCGAGGTAGCAAAAGAGACCCTATCCTTCACGTTCAGACGATTAGCTTCTAAACAAGCGTTTCTGAAGATATATTTGTTTCATTTTGTTTCCACGAACAGGAACATCATTTACTGCATCATATTTGCTTGGATCTTTGTTGGCACAGCATCACATCAACAGCTTTGCTGGCCAAGAGCCAGAAGCTGTTACAGATTACTTCGTAAACCTGTAACATATTGCATCCCAAATTTGGGACTGTCTCCCTGACCTCCCACTGCAAACGGCCGCTTCTTTCTTCGGCTGATCTTCCCATCATGAAGCTGGAGCATGACCAGAACCTAGGCAGAATTGGGTTTGTTCACGCGACGGACACTGTAAGGACTGTTCATGACTGTTCATTTGACAGCCTTGATAATTCCTCTATGTGGATACAGCAAAGAGTCGTTGTCACTTTGTCACCTGGCCGAGTACTTTGGTTGTCAGGTAATGACCACCAATCCCTGCTTGTTAGCTCCAATGATTTTTATGTTCGGATCACGCAAGCAGAAATGTTGATGGTAGTTGAAGCTTTGCTAAACCCATCGTCCAAAGCTCATGCAAAGACGCTGGCACAGGGGCTGAAAAGCACACAATTTAAAGTACTATATACGAGAAAGCTTCCACCACATGGTGGGATAGAAACGGTGTTTCACAGTGTAAAGGCTTTACCGTCTCACACAAACCATCACAAACCACAGTGCTCGCAGTTCTGGATTCGTCACAAGCTGAGGATGTCGTCCCTGATAGGCGGGCCGCTTGTGACCCAGAAGACTTTGGCTGCACAGCTCATCACAAGTCCACAAATGAGAAGCACAAAGTTGGAAATATGTTGTGTGCCTCGAATCTCATGACTCGACTCATAAGTCATACTGCTGCATTAGCACCCTTGCTTGCCTATGCTTGCCTGCTTTTCAAGGCCTTTCGAGGGGGTTCCTTTCAGTTGCTTGCCTTTGCATCCTAGCTGCTGAGAGGCGAGATTTTGTGGGACATATTGGTCCTTTTGGATGACAAGGCCCAGTGCCGACCAGTTGAATTCGGTCCAAGTTCATCAGCACATTGATGGTGCTGCGACTTTCAGAGTGTTATTTATTGACATACGCAATTTCAACAGTGAAGCAATGGCTCTGATAACCTGATTGAGATGCAATGTGGCAAGCTGAATGTTGTTTCAACCAGGGGTTCAGAGTAGAATCACCAGTGGCTTCCGACTTGGTCAAGTACTTGGTCATTCTAGTTTCCCTGTGTCAGCTGTTGTGCACTGAATCAACATTGTGGCTCAAATTCACATGAGTCAAACGATGAGCCGATGAGCTAACAACCCCTTATATAATTATATATATACATATGATTCACACTAGGTTGGAGGCCATTGCTACAAACAAAATGCATTCTTCAACAGATGCGGTCTCCTAGAGGCTCTTTTGGAGCTCGGCGGCTGCGCTCGTTCGGCGCCTAGGTTGGCCTGCCAACAGTCATATAAGTCTAGTCTACTCTTCACTTTGAAATCATCAATGAATGTGGATTTTGGAAAAGGATTGAAGTCATCATTGCTGGAATGCAAAAGCCTTTAGAGTTTAGGGGAGTCAAAGATGCACGGAATGAACGAGCTTCCTGGACTGAGGCTACTTGTTGATCCAGTGCGAGCGAAGGCGGCTCCAATGCTTTCTGCTGCAGGCAGGGGTTTCCAAAAGAGACAGCCTCACACGACAACTTCATTCCCAGATCCACACTGAATGGCTTGAATACATTTGTTTTGTGTTGTACATTTGTCACTCACGCAGGTCAAGAGTCCAGACAAGCAAAGTGCGGGCACCAAGTACCAAGCTATCAGTTTTCTAGCACAAGGATACTGTAGTGTATACAAATTTATACTTGGCATGGGCCTGGGCTTCTAGGCAAGTTGAGAAAACGTTAAATCCGGGTATACGGTATGGTGTACGTAGTAGTATTGTTTGACTATATAGATGTATTGGATTGTCCCTCACAACGGTTTGGTTTCCCGTATTTTCTTTGACAGGCTTTTTCAGGCTCACTTTATTGTTTTACGCTTTGAAGCAGAGGTTGCAGGTGAAGACCACCAGCCACATTGACATGTTCCTGTGCAGGCAAACTTCGCTTGAGTGATGGCGGCCATGTCAATCGGAAGCTTTGCCCGCCCCAAAAGAGGCACTTTGGTAGCTTGTTTTTGACTAGCCAAAGACTGTGAAGTTTGACTCTTGTTTTGATGAATGATTTCATTGATGTCATCGAGTTCTTGATGCCCATTCGATTCTTGACTTCCAAATTAGGGCAAAGTTTTGCTTCAGGTCCTCACGGCTTCAGAATGTGCGCCCGGTGCAGAGTGCATTGACCAAGCTTTCGCGGATGGTCAAGGCGTGTCGGGCGGCCTTGGAGCATTCTGCAGAGGTGTCAAAGTGTTTGGATGCTAGAGGTGCTGTGTGCCAAGCCTTGGATTTACATGGGTGAGCTGTTTAAAGAAATCCGGCACCACTTCTGAGCCATATTTGCTGTGCGTTTCTCTATTTCAAGATCTCTCCAGCTTTCCTAAGCTTGATGGGCCTTGCCAGGATGATGATCAGCTTGTCATTGCCAGTCTTTTGCCTTGGGTCGAGTGCGGAGACCAGAGCACACGCGGGGTGGCCAAGGATCCAAGGCCATGCTGTGCATAAGATTTTGTCGAAGGGCCCTACTGCAAGTTGTGCCCTTTTACAGTCCTCAGTTCATCATCAGCGCCACAGCTGCGGCGGACCCTGCAAGTCTGACGGCTGATGACTCACCCAATGCAACCATTGGATCGCGGACGTGTTTCTGAGGTAGGTATAACTAAGGATCCTCCCCCAATTAGTTTGGTCCGCCTAGTCCCGGCAATAGTACTGTAATCGCCTTTCAAAAGACCTCCTTCTAGCACAATTGAACATTTGGTGCACTAACTTCCTCCCCAATTATATATATATAGTTTGGTCACGTTTGGTCCACTCTTGGGGCCAATTTTTTGCAATACTAACCGCCGATTGTCCCTGTCTTAAATCATTGCAATTTCACCAATCACTCAGGTCATGGTCCTATTGCCTCCTCATTCAGAGATTTTATCTTGGGGATCTCTGCTCATGAACAGAGTTAGTCTTTGGGATCTCTATACAGTCATGAAGAGATTTTGTATTGGGGACCTCTCCTCATGAGATTTATAGAGTCTTGGGGGGATAATTTAAAGCAATGCGTTGCAATAATTTGTTATGGTCATGGTCATGGTTCTATGAATGCTTCTATATAAATTGCTGTGTTCTTACATTATCATACATATCCATGTTGACCATTCCAAACAAATAGGGATTGTTGAGCCAGAAAGCAAGGAAAGGCAAAGTGCTTGGCCCATGTTTGGGGTCCTTGACCGTCCTTGATTCAAAACACACTTTAACTTTAGACCTGAACACACGAAAGTCAACGGTCCAAAAGGGGCTTCGCTACTACGGGCTAAAATGACTCATATCGCTTCAGGGTACCCACCGTTGGGTCTGTGGAAACAAGGGGTTCTTTTCTCCCAACGCCGAAGGCGCTTGTGCCCTTCGGGCTTTGGGCCGCTTGGTGGGACCTGCCCACCGGAAGATTGTGGGCCCAACGTTGCTGCGATGCATTCGAGTCCACAAGCTCAGACGGCTCAGAAGTTTTCGTCTTTGGCATTTGCGGTTTGGGTGCCGGAAAACTGGTCACATTTGGGCTGTATGTGTGACTGGAAGAGATCAAGCCTTTTGTTGCTTGGACCGCTGCTGGACTCGGAACAACACCGATAGTCGTAGTCGAGTCATAGTGTATCCGTGTATGATGCATCTCATGGTGCTGTTAAGGTTTTTCAACGGTTAGTGTTCAGCAAACTGAAGCCAGCAGCCAATCGGATGTTGGCGAAAGGCAAAGGAGAAAACCGACTTCGTCGATCTGAGGTGTCTTCCCTAAATGCCGCAGCAATGACAGAGCTGGGTAACACGCTCCAGCGCTTGGTGTCCCCAAATGATCCGGTGCGCCCGATTCATGACGTCGTGGAGATGGAGTGTTGT